TACAATAAGGAAGCCATCCAAAGATTTTACGCCCTCAGGAGCTAACACTAGACCTAAAGGGCCAGGGTCAAGGCAGCTGAAGGCAGTGTGGGCGGTAGTTACAGTGCCTGAACTGGCAACCCCTACCCTCCACTTCTCTGTGGAGGGTAAGGAAGTGATGGTGAAGAAAATACCCTACTTACTAAGCTATGTTTAAAACTAACACTCTCATTAAGAAATTATACAATGCTTTTCTTTCTCAGTGTCAAAAGGAAAACAGATGGCCAAAGAAAGGAAGATATAAACTGTAGTCTTTTATCAAATATGTCAAATTTGAAAACATGCCAAATGAATTTTATATAAACATACCAAATAAATTCCAACCAACAAAATAAATATATATATTTTTTTATTAACAAGAGACACCTTTAAGAAGAAAGAAAAAAATATTTGTGGAAGTTCACTCATTCAAAACAGAAGTTCTGGGGCTAGCTCCATGGCACAGGGGTAATGCACTGCTCGAGAGAAGCTCGAGAGAAGCTGGATCTCGTCTGGTGACCACAGTTCGAATCCCAGGCCTGGTCAGCCTGAAAAACACCAGGCATGTATGCCAAGTGCCCAAGATCTGACAGGCTGGAAGACTAGATGATAAGGTCCTACAGAGGGTGTTTATCTCTCCATTTCTCTCTCTCTGCCATTCTCACATATATGCACACACAACTGTCACCAATAAAGTCAAACTTAAAACAAAAAGAAAAAACAACAACAAAAAAAGAGGTCCGGTGGTGGTTAAGGCTGCTAGATCCCTTGGGGCCAGCAGGTGACATGATGGTTAAGGAGCTGGACTCCCACGTGGCTGACTGTGGTTTGAGTCCTGGACCTGGTGGCTTGCTTTCTCTCTCTGTCTTTCTCTGGCAAGTGCATGTATCCTGTAGCAAATTAAAACAATAATAATAATGATGATGATGATAAACAAAATTAAATAAATAATAATTTAAAAAAGAAAAAAACAAAGGCAGCTGGATTCCACAAGACTGACTGTATTTCGAGTCCCAGACCCAGAGACTTGAAGAATAATATGCTGGGCACAAGTGTGTGTGGAGTCCAAAATCCCAAAAGGACAACACAGGAGAGAATGCAGTGTGGCCATACCCCTTGGGAGGTGATTTCTCACTTTCACACACTCTCTCTCTGGCAAGTGCACATGCCCTATATCAAAAACTAAAAAGGAAAGAAGTGTACTAAATTCCAGAAAAGAAGAGCACTACCTGCAGAACATGACACTCAAGGTTTAGCACATCTCATGAACATCTAGCTGAAGAGTACTGTGTAGGTTTTGGCTTGCCCAGAAGGATACTGGGGTAATCCAGTCATTACACCTTTCCTGAGTGTATCCAACAGCTCTCAGGAGTTCCCCAAGCGGTTAAACGACACCCCCAGCAACATGCTCACCTCTCCTCACGCTCCCGCTTCTGTTTCCGAGCATGGCGATCCATCACACTAGTTTTAGTCCTCGTCTTCTTCCAAGAGTAATAAAATTTCACCAGACTTGCTATAGATTTATCAGGAAGCTAAATATATAAAAATGAATTGGTTTAGATTTAAAACTAATCATTAAAAATAAAATTTATTCAGATGCATTTAATAGCAATTACTTTCACATATTCAGAAATGTAAGTCACAGCCTTTTCTCCTGATAAGAAAATAATTTTAAAAATAAATTCATTTATTTAATCTCATTTATTATTATTATTTTTTAATTTGACCAGAGAGAGACAGAGAGAGAGAAAGGGAAAGTGAGAAAGCAAGCTGCCAGGTCCAGGACTCAAACTACAGTTGGTCATGTGGGAATCCAGTGCCTTTAACCACCACAACACCTGCTGGTCCCAGAATTCTTATACTTTCAAATTACTGAAGCTGGGGCTGGCTCTAAGACCTAGTGGTTAAGGCAGCCAGATCTCACGTGGCTGACTGCTTGTTTAGAGTCCCAGACCCAGCGGCTTGAGAAACACACCCGGTGCTTGTATGTGTGTGCCTGTTCACCATGGGCGTGCTTCTTCCTTCTTCCTCTGACTCTCTTTGGGTAACATATGCACCCCTCTGGCAAAATTTTTTTTTAAATTATCGAAGTTTGTAAGTAAAACTTAGTTAAGAAAAGACAATAGTCAGATTGAGATGAATCAGTTTTCATATACCTGAAGTCCTTAATCAACTTTGAGTTTTTTTTTTTTTTGGAGAGATTTTTACTGTAGGGCGCGTGCGCTCGCCAGACAGACAGAGAGAGACATAGAGACAGAAAGCGAGAAATCACCCCCCAGGGGGGATCATTTTAACACTTAGTACAAACACCAGGAAGCCTTTACTGAGAGTCTACTAATCAGCTTTCTAGAATATAAATGGTAAACAAACACTCCCCAGACAGATAGGGCCCCAAGATGCCCTACAGCAAACAACCATCAAAGCTTTTTGGTACTGGTTTACTTCTGGGCAGTCCCAACAAGAGGAATTGGGTGGGGGTGGGGATGGGGTTGAGTCAGGAAGTCCAAGTACTGACTTCACTCCTGTAATTTGATGCCTCCCATCCTAGAGCAGCATGAAATAACTAGTTGCCTTTTTTAAAGGGAGTTTTATTAAAAATGAGAATCAAAAAATGAGTTGGTTTAGATTTAAATTTATTTTTCAGAAATCAAGCACATTTAGTTGGATATAAAAGGCATCTATCTCACTTGCTCAGAAATGCTAACTCACAAAGTCCATTTTTCTCTTAAGAAAAAAGTGATAATCCTTATGAATACAGTAATATTTTCAGGTTTTAGAATGATATCCCTCCCTCTCAAGTATACTGCAAAGAACTGGAGGTGGTAGAGGTGGGGGAGGATCAACAGTCTCACATACTTACCATTTGTTGTATTCTATGAAAAGTTTTCCCATGAAAACTAAAGGCTTGCTCAAACAAGACTTTATCTTCCACAGTCCACTCATCTGGGAAGGGGGTAAAGTTGGGCAAATCAGCCAATGATTTTTCAATATTATGCTTATGCCAAAAGAGCATCCCCAGAGCCTAGAAAAACATCAGTGACATTTTAGATCAAAGAACTGAGTGAAACACTACAACAGAAATGATATTGGGAAAAAAAGAAGATATACTATTTTATATCCTAGTTAAAAGTGCCTCATATAAGTGGAATCATATAGTATTTGTCTTTTTGTAACTGGTTTATTTAATAGCACAGTGATTTCCAGGCTCATCCCTGTTGTAGCATATTGCAGAATTCCATTCTTTGTTAAGGGTGAAACTACTCCATTGCATGCGTATACCATATTTTGCTTAGTTATTTGTGAACATGTGGGCTGCTTTCATGTTCCAGCTATTGTGAATAACACCACTATAAACATGGGTACAAATATCTCTAAGACTTTGCTTTCAAATCTTTTGGATACATACCCAGAAATGGAATTGCTAGATCACAAGGTAATTCTATTTTTAATTTTTTTTAAAGAGCTGCATCCTGCTTTCCCCAGGAGCTGTATCATTTTTATATTTCCAATAATAGTGACTGAACTTCTTTGTCTCTTGTAGCCTTTTTTGTTTGAAGTCTGTTTCTTCTGCTACTATGGCTCCTCTGTTCTCTTTTGGTTATTAAATGTGTGGAATGTCTTTTTCCATCCTTTCACTTTAAACCTAGTTATGTTCTGGATCTAAAGTGAATCTTATACACAGAATATAGAATACACGCATTTAACAGCTCTGGACTCTCACATGGCTGACCACAGTCCTATACCGGTGGTTTGAAAAATCACACCAAATACATGTGCGTGAGTGCGTGCGTGCATGCCCAAAATCCCAGGAGAAAGAAGGAAAAGAAATTGCAACATGGCTATCACCCAGAGAGTGATTTCTCACTTTCCCTCTCACTGTCTCTCTCTCCTCTCCAGTGTGTGTAAGTGCCCTATGCCCCCCCCCAAAAAGTAATTACTGATAAGCAGTGAATCACTCTGTCATTTTGCTATTTGTTTTCTGTAAGTCTTATAGTTTTTTCTATCCCTCATTTCCTGAATTACTGTATTTTCTGGGTGGGTTTAAGTTGATGATAGTGAAATGTTTAAATTTCTTTTTCATTTCATTTTGTATATATCCTATAGCTATTTTCTTGGTGGTTACTGCAGAGATTACAATTTACATGGTAAAGGTATAACAGTCTTACAGAATTTATACTAGCTCAACCGCAAGAACAAGTTGAAGTTTTTCAACAACCTTATCACCATCTTTTTCAGCTGTCGACATCACAAAATTATACCTTTGTATATTGTATGCTAAAAAGTTAAACCAGCAGGGCCACCTTGTGGACTACTGGTTAAGGGAGTCAGATCCCACATGGCTAGCTGTGGTTCAAATCCCAGCCCTGGTGGCTTGGGAAATATGCCAGGCGTTATGCATGCACGCTCAGGATCCCAGTGGGATGGAAAGGTGGGAGGTATGCTGACAAAAACACAACCCTGGAGGGGTTCCTCCTCCGTTTCTCTCTGCCTTTGTAGAGCTCATGAGCCCTCTGGTGACTCAACAAATGAACAAGTTAAACTAATAATTCTTTCAAAAGGATATCTCTTAAATTATACTGAAAAAAAAAAAATACAAACAGTTACAAACAAAATTACCTACTACTAGAATTTAGACTAATAGGAGCCAGCAGGTGATGTGTTCGTTAAGAGTGCTGGTCTCCCACACGGCCGACTGCAGTTTGAGTCCCTCCACAGAGTTCAACTACAATTTGAGTCCCAGACTCGGTGGCTGGAAACTCATGCCAGGCGCATGTGCATGTGTCCAAAATTCTGGGAGGAGACTGAAGAAGGGATTGTGGAGTAGCTATTCCACCTGAGGATGATTTCTCGCTTTCTGTCTCCTCTTTCTCTCTTTCCAATGAGCGCATGCGCCCTATAGCAAAAATCTCTCAAAAAAACAAAAACAACAAAAAAAACTTTTTAATAGAAAGTCCTATGATTATTTTCATAATAGAGACATGGCTGACAGTGGTTCAAGTCCTGGACCTGATGGTTTACTTTCTTACTTTCCCTTTCTGGTCAAATTTTTACAAATTAATAATGATGATAAATAAAAAATAATTCTTTAAAGAAATAGTATCAGTCTCTTAAGTCATGTAGAAAATATAAAGTGCACTTCCAAACCGTTATTATAACACTAGCTTTTATAATTGCCCATGTATTTACCTTTACTGAGGCCTTTATCTCTTCATTTTTCCTTTAGGGTACTGTCTAGACCCATTTTATTTCACCCTACAGGTCCCTTTGAACATTCTTGCAGGGTACATCTAGTGGTGATGAAATTCCACAGCTTTATCTGGGAATGTCCGGATATTTTTCTTTTCTTCTTTTTTTTTTTAAAGAAATAATTATTAGCGGGACAGAGGTGGGGGAGAGGGGAGACAGTGAGAGAGTAAGCCGCTAGGTCCAGGACTCAAACCACGTGGGAGTTCAGTGCCCTTAACCACCACACCATATGCTGGCCCCATCCTCCTTGTTCCTGTAGGAGAGTTTGTTAGATTGCAGGATTCTCTTCTTCATCTTTTTCTTTTTTAAGAATGATTTAACTTTACTAATTATTATTTCCCAGTTTGATCAGAGAGAGAGAGAGAAAGCGCAAGAGAGCGCAAGAAAGCAAGCCACCAGGTCCAGGACTTTCACAGTGGTCAGCCATGTGGGAGTCTAGCACCTTTAGGGACCACATCACCTCCTGGCCCCTCTTCCTTACTTTTGAAGGTCAGTTTGTCTGATAGTATTCTTGATCAATTAGTTGTCTATTCTTAGCAATTTGAATATGCCAGCCAGTTTGCCTTCGGACTCCCAAACTGTCTGATAAGAAATTTACTGATAGACTTATTTAAGAACCCCTTTATGTGACAAGTCGCATTTCTTTTACTGTTTTTAAGCTTCTCTTTTGAAAACTTTCATTATTCCTCTTAGTGTGGGTCTCCTTTGAGTAGATTTTACCACATGTTTGTTGAACTTCATGGATTCTTATATTATTCTTTTTAAGAGAGAATTTTGCTATAGGTGCATGCCCTCACCAGAAAGTCAGAGAGGCAGAAAGTGAGAAATCATCCCCCCAGTGGGGATGGCCACACCACAATTCCTTTTCCAGCCTCCTCTTGGGATTTTGGGCATGCATGCACACATTCCCACCTGAGTTTTAAGTCACTGGGTCTAGGATTCCAACCGTGGTTGACTACATGGGAGTCCAGTGATGTAACCATTAAGCCATCTGCTGGTCCCCATGGATGCTTACATTCATGCCTTTCATCATATTTGGAAAAGTTTTTGGCCATCAGTTCAATACAAAAATGTATCGCTTAATTTATGGGTATACATTCTAAGAAATGCACTGTTAAGCAATCACATTGTTGTGTGACCATCACAGGATGTATGTACACAGAAATGGGATAGCCTACTACATACCTACGCTGTACAGTACAGCCTGCTATAATCTTACAGGACCACCATTACTACGGCCATCACTGACTGAAACGTTGTTATGCAGTTTGGTTCTATTTCCTCTGCCTTTTCCCATGCTCCTCTCTTTCTAGAACTTCCTCAACACTATGTTGGTCTGCTTGATGGTGTCCCACAGGACTGCTAGGTTCTGTTCACTATCCTTGAATTTTAATATTCCTTTTGTTTCTCAGACAAGGCAATTTCAACTACCCTGTCTTCAGGTTTGCTGATTCTTTCTTATGCCTGCTCAAATCTGCCTTTGAATCCCTCTACTGAATTTTTCATCTCAGTTACTACATATTTTAGCTCCAGAATTTCTTCTTGGTTTCTCTTTAGACTACCTGTATCCCTCTTGATATTTCCATATTGTTCCTAAATCACTGTCTTAGTTTTCTCTGTTTCTACCTTTGCTCGCTAAACAATTTTTTTTTTTGTGGGGGAGAGGTTTTGGCTATAGAGCGCATGCACTCGCCAGAAAGACCGAGAGAGAGACAGAGAGACAGAAAGCGAGAAATCATCCCCCAGGGGGAATGGCCATGTTGCAATCCCTTCTCCTCCATTCTCCTCTCAGGAGCTTGGGCATGCACGCACATGCGCCCGACATGAGTTTAAGCCACCAGGTCTGGGACTCGAACTGCAGTCAACTACATGGGAGTCCAGCAATATAAGCCATTCTGCCAACTGCTGGTCCCTTTCTGAACAATTTTAAGACAGGTGTTTTAAAATCTTTGCCTACTGGATCTGCAAACAGGTCTTTCCTAACTAAAGTTTCTTCTGTTGATTAATTTTCCTCTGAATGGGCCATATTTCCTATTTGTTTGCATGTCTTGTTCCTTTTCTGCTGAAAACTGCTTTGCATCTAACAATGCAGCAACTCTTGTAGTCCCCTAGAGTTAGCTGGTTTGTAATTGCTTTGTTTTTATTACTGCAAACTGTCTGTGATAAGACACTGTATGAAATGTAAACTTAAGTTCTTCTCAGGTCTGTAGTGAGTGTGTGCCACATAAAGCAGCTTTCAGATTTCCTTCTTATATGCGGCTACTTTTGAATGTAGTAGCAGTTGTCGTAGTCATGTCGTCGTCATCACTGTCTTTTTTTTTGGAGAGATTTTCGCTGTAGGGCGTGTGCACTCGCCAGACAGAGAGAGACAGAGAGACAGAAAGCGAGAAATCACCCCCCGGGGGGGTGGTCACGCCGCAATCCCTTCTCCTCCATTCTCCTCTCGGGATCTTGGGCATGCATGCACACGCGCCCGGCGTGAGTTTTAAGCCACTGGGTCCGGGACGTGAACTGTGGTCAACTACGTGGGAGTCCAGCGACATAGCCATTACGCTAACTGCTGGTTCCCGTCATCATTGTCTTTGATGTCTAGCCCCCAAAAGGGGGAAAAAAGAAAAAGGAAGGAGGGAAGATGTGACATGAAAGGGCATTAGCTCTTTAAATCTTCAGAAGTTACTCCATCTAAAGGGGGAAGAGCTTGCCATGGGCAGGAGGGGCAACACCAGCTGGCGGCTGGCTTCTCAGCACCTCTGTGATCAGAAGCAGCAGTGAGCAATCACAGCACAAATCCCCAATATCTGGAACTACTTGCTGTTTGCTCCCCCTGGCTACCACCAGCTATGTATGAATTGTTCCTGGAACATACTCACAGCTACCGGTCACAGGACTGAGGGCAGGGGGTGCTTTGCTGCTGCCTTTTAAGCCTTCAATAGGCTTCAGAGGCCCACAAAAGTTATAGTAGATGGATTCTGCCAGTGCAGTTCATGTCCAGGTCAGGAGACACACTCCTGGTGGTTTGTACCTCCCACTATCTCGAAATGCTCCTCATCATGTGCCATTTTGTACACTAACTCATTTAATTCACAAGCCCTGTGAGGTAAATTCCATTATATCCACTTCTCCACTAGAATATGGAGACCTTGAGAACTTAAGTAACTTGCCAGAGATCACAGAACTAGTAAATGAAAGAAGCTGTATGGATTGAGAACCTGCACTCTTTTTTTTGAGAGGTTTTTGCTATAGGGCGTGTGCGTCTCCAGAAAGACAGAGAGAGACAGAGAGATAGAAAGTGAGAAATCACCCCCCAGGGGGATGGCCACGCCGCAACCCGTTCTCCTCCATTCTCCTCTCGGGATCTTGGGCACGCATGCACATGCGCCTGGCGTGAGTTCAAGCCTCCGGGTCCGAGACTCGAACCACAGTCGACTACATGGGAGTCCAGCGACATAGCCATTATGCTAACTGCTGGTCCCAAGAATCTGCACTTTTTTTTT